CCTGGGGTTCTCTGACAGCAATTCGTCCGCGGCAATCATAGCTTCGGACCAGCGCTCCACAACGGATGTAGTCTTGATTTCTTCCCAAAGAAGCTCGGAGGCGCTGGCCAGGAACAAAGCAGCAGCAAGCCGGAGTTGATGGCCTTGCTTCTGTTTCCGAGCATCGTAACGCAATGGAGTCTGCGCTGTAGAGCCCCCACTCGCAGCGTCCGTCCATTGTCCAATGGCAAGGCGCTCGGTGTCAGTGAGCCGCGCGATCCCCGCTAAGGTGGGCACCACCCGCCTGAAGCTGTACGAGCTGAGGTTCTGCACATCCAGAACGCCATCGAAATAGGGTCGACCACTCGAAGGAATTGCCCAATTGACACGGGGACACCTGTGTCAGAGTCGAAGGCCAAAAAGTGCCAACGACGATACCCTTCGCCATGACGTGGGCGGACCTTGTCCAACTGACGAGTCCAAATGGCCATAAAGGTCGAGGCTGCCCAAATGCCGAGGGATCGACCAGGTGAATCCGTCCCGGGATCCGGTCTTGCCTTTGAAGCACCAGAAGATGATGATGGCGGAGTTGGCGCCGATAAGGTAGCTCCGCTGCACGTGGCAAAACCGAATAAGCCCAAACACCATGGCCGCCGCGGCCATCAGGATAGGCCAGTGAGCATGCTCGGCCGTGTACTCCAGGACCCCCAACAGGTGGATCACCATGCCCGGCTCAAGCGGGGCGGCCTGGGACTGCCCCTGTCCCAGCCGGGTGCTCCGGACCGGAGCCGGTTTGGAAGCTTCCCGCAAATCCAGTGGTACACGAAGGTTTCGAATCATCCAGCCCAGGGATGTGAAGAAGACACGTGTCGGCCCATGGTGCTCCCTGATGAAGGTGGCCAATGCATGGGGGTCGGGAAACTTCAGCCCCAAATGATCCATATAGCGCACCAAGTCCTTCCAGGTGTGGACCACGCGCTTGATGGTAGCCGCCTCGGTGCGGGCACACAGCTTCTCCAAGCGAGAGGCCCAATTGGCCATGTATTCATCTCGTCGTGCCGGTGGTGGAGGCATCAATGTCACCATGATACCCAGCAGGTCACGAATAAACAAGGCAGCGACTCCACCCGGAGCATCAGTCGACTGGGCTGGCCGCTTCTTAGGCCTGACAGGCCCAGCAAATGAAGACGGCTTCGGACGGGCCACCGAAGGTGAAGGCAATGAAGAAGCCGGAACACTGGATGGTTGTGGCGGGCGAGACTGGCTAACTGTCTCCCTCGCAAAAAGGTGCCGAACCAGAGCTGCCATCCCCGGTTCGCTCTCACGGCGGGCGAGATCCCACCCATCTGCCACTGCGCGACCAGCTTCACGAAGTGCCTCCTCGTAGGAGGTAAACCAAAAAGCCAAGTCGCTGGAACTCTGAATCCCCATCCTGGTACACCAGGTATTCAGCTTCTCCTGCTCAACCGCGCGTCAAGCATCTGCGTCAGCCATGGCTCGCACACAAAAAGAATCTTGCGAATCAGCGACCCTGATTCACACGAGCGACACTCCTTTTGGCTTAAGCCTCAAGCTGAAAGGAGTGAGTGAACTGAATGACATCAAATAATTCCTCATCACCGACCCTGCCTACCTTGAATGAATGAATATCTATCTATTCATTTAAAACCAATATAAAATAGATAATATATATGAAATGCTATCATCTAAAAATGTATTATATATATAATACGATATTTATAGTATATTCATAGTGCTTCGCGCTCGAAGCCGCCCGCACGGAGTGTGTGTGTCTGTCTGTCTTGGTCTGTCAGTCTGTCTGTCTCGGTCGGGCAGGACACAAGATGAACGCACCCACGTTGTCGATAATGCAGTTCACGCTTAGCTCCGAAGCCATACGGACAATCATACACACGATGTAATTTTTTTAAAACAATTTGCTAAAAAAATCAATGGGCCTCCCCCTCCCAAGCTAAAGCTTAAGCTGGCTAATCTTCCAGTTCACCCGAGCCAACACAACGCCTCAGCACCTTCGTTGCGAGCGGATTTTATTCATACGGTGGAGGATGTGGTATTGCTGGCTTGCCGGCAATGGAGGGCCTTTATACTCGTAGCGACTCTTATACAAAGTCGTTATCGCTCAGATTGGCACCGTAGGGAAGCCTTCGAGAACTCCCTGAAAATACCAGAGTGCGACTACGCCTTGCTTCAAAGCGCCATGAACAAGTGGAGTGCAGCACTAAGGGGGCCATCTCCTCGACCTCCTCAATTGCGATGGAGAACACCTCACTACCCATAAAATCAAGTGAGACCGACACCCATACAGCCAAGGGCATGCTTTGATCTGGATGGCTTAGCTAGTCTCTGGCTGCCTACGAGGCCACAGCTTTTGTGCAACCGTTGCAGTCAAAAGGGAGTTTAGGCATCTTGGTAGAAAACTACATTTACCCCATGTTGCAAACTGCTGACAGAACAAGCCCCGCTTTGCTTCCAACTGAGTTTTCTTGTGGCAAATCTTCCTCCAGTAAAAATATTTTCTTTGAATACAACATTCTCAGCGGACTGAACTTGAACTTGTGTCACGCAAGAAATTTGAGTCAATTGCAAGCAACATTGGCAATGCTTTCTTTACATACCACATGAAAAACTGCTTTCTTCTAGGTTTTAGGACTGGTTTTAGGCCATTGCTACTAGGGTGGAGACCATCGCTGCTAGGCTGAAGGCCATTGCTATTAGGTTGGCGGCCATGGCTCGTACACACACAAAGCCTCTTCAATTTTTACGGCTTCACGGATGGGGTGCTTGGCTCTGCAGCTCCGCCTGCTTGCTCTACGTGTTGGCGTGCTTAGCGCGTGGTGCTCGAATGGGCTTGTTGAGCCGAGGACTTGCTTGACTTGATCGATGCACTGAGAGGGAAGTTTCGAGCTGAAGTGTTCATGGCATTGGAAGACATCACGAACTAATTTCAAGCCACGTGAAATCTGTCCAAAAGCTTTAGCAACGAGATTCATCCTCTTCGCAGTCCGCTCCGCTGTGGGAGTTCCACCCGGTCAGGTGGGTCGTTGGGTTTGGATGATTGCATTGTTGCGTGTGCCTGGTGAGGTCATGTGCACCTCCAGGGGTGGTCATCCTCAAAGAGTGAAAGATAGGCAAAGGATACAATACATGGAACGGCAATCAACACGCCAAACTACAAATAAACGTAGTTGAGACAGGAGACACAAGTGTCTGTTTGGAACTAATTAGGTTTTGTAAGTACAGGCCTTTAGAGCACGTTCTCGATCAGAAATGCCCGTTGATTGGAACAATCAATTGGCTTTTCCATTTGCCTGGGTCTAATGGAAAGTAATGAGCGCAAGCAGCGAGGAAAAGGCTTGCATAGAATTCATTTTTTGCCAAACGCTATCAGTTGCTCCTGTGTTCTTCCAGGCTCAGACTTTGCCTTGCCTTGCGCAAGCAGAGCGAGGCAAATGATGTCGTACCAAGAAAATTGACAGAAAGAAGCAACATGTCAAACAATGACCATTTGCATGTGTTGGCCTTCAAAGCCCATACCTTGGCCAACAGCGCAGAAGCAGTGCACATGTGATGTGCATAGGTCGCGTGAGCTTTACTTGACCTAGCGACCTAGCTACTCCACCCTAGTAGCGATGGCCTCCAACCCAAGAGCGACCTAGCTGCTCTCATCCATCCTGCTCTTCCTGCTCCGTTTGAAGCTCCTTCAATTGCTGCGTGAGGCTGGCAACCTGGCAGCACAACATGCCCACTGAAACACCTTTTACAAAACTGCAAAGCTGCATAGCAAAGCAAATAGCTGAACTCATAGCTCAAGTTTGCCCCAGAAGCCAGGAACCAAATCCATCATGTGAAGAACCCTGAGCTCCTCTGTGTCCAAGACACGTACTATCCCTCCCTTCCCTTCCCTTCCCTTCCCTTCCTACTAGCTAGCTGCCTCATGACGGACGCGTTCCCCGCTAAAGTTCTACTGCTTCGTTTGCACCTTGGCTTCCAGTTCTGCATTCTGCCTCCTGAGCTCATCATTGTCCGCCCTTAGCTCCTGGAAAAAAGACTTGGATGTGACCCCCTCATAATGACAACAAATATAAACGCTTTACAAAGAAAAGCACAACATGACCGGACAATCACGTGTAGCGCAACCATACTTCAAAACAGAAGAAGGACATATTCGCCCCAAGGCTTTCGTTACAGAATCCTGACCCAAAAGCCGGATGTTGAACAACTTGACATGACTCTGTGAATTGTGATCGGGCGGTCTCCTCAACGTCAACGCCTCAGCTTTCCAAAAGAAGTAAGACACATACCTTTTTTCCGGAGGCCATCGCTGCTAGGGTGGAGGCCATCGCTTTAGGTCGGAGGCCATTTCTCTTTTGTTATTCGGGTTTTCTCTCTAGTTGAGGCGTTCTTGTAGCTAGCTTAGCTAGCTAGAGTCTAGCAAAGGTAAAGTCTGAAGTCCAACCTTCTAGATGTAGTCCGTGGTGTTCTTGTGACACTTATATCGCACCGTGCCTGTTGGAGCTCCGAGGTATTTCTTGATGTAGTCGATTGCCTGGAGCTTTCCAACATCTAGAGCGTGCAAAAACATTCAGGCAAGCTTAGAAGGCTTAGCACAAGGCATTTGCAGGCCGCTCAGGCTCCTCATACAAGCCCACGAGCACGCGAGTGAGTTGAGATATTATGCCGTTTTTCCTCGGAGGGCAAGCTTCACAGAAAGACTCCATGTCAGCATTTGAACATGTTTAGCCGATACACTTAATCAAATTAATTCCTGCACATTTTTGGTTAGGGCTCGCCAAGTTATTTGCAAATGAGACAGTTGAGACAAGGTGCTCCAAATACTTGCGGAATTCCTCCTTCTGTGAGTCGGCTGTCTCATAGCTCATGGCTATGTGATGGTTGGACGGTGCAGAAATGGCTCGACTGCAGCTGAGCAATGCAAGCGTGAAAATTGAGCCCACGGCAGCGATGTAAATGGACAATCCACATGGCTCCACCATGGTCTCTATATATTAATATATATATATACTATTTCAACCAACAAGTGTCTGAGGTCAATATTCACCATGCGATTTACAAGAACATCTGGCATTAAGTCATTAAGTGGTTTGCTCTCAGAATTGAACACTGTCGGCGCCGGGCATTTTCTTCCACAGCTTTCTCTGGCTGAGCTGTCCTGCGGGCACTCCTGGCTGAAACGAAGCTTGATGAACGAACAGCAAGGGCAAGTAAATTGGGTCTTGAAGTCTTGACCTAGTCCCAACTCTATAAGTTTCCGCCCTGATCAATTGTAAGACCTGGTGCAAGCAAGTCACATCAAATTCAAGCGTGGTCTGCGGAACGAGGACGGGACTAATGAAGGAACCAAGCGTTTGAAGATTGCGATGACGATGGCAGTGCCAACCTTAACGAATGACAGAACTGGCATCAGCGTTTCCGAATTCGCAACAGCTGCGGTCTCTGGGGAATGCACAGGTGTCAGCGGGGCGACTATAATGGCACCGACTGGCAAGAAGAGAAGCATGTCCTTCAAGGTCCGCCATAGCCACGCGCTTTCGGTTTCAGAGAACCTTGTCATCCCTTCCGGACTTGGGCTGCGGAGAAGTGCGGCTGAATATGACAAATCTTGGCTGACCATAGAGACGCTGTCCACCAATTCTCGCACCTCCTTCTTCACTCCATCCTTCACTTTTTCAAAGCTCAATCTCTTCAATCTTGTTGCAAGTGGCTCGCTCAGAGTGGCCGTGTTGTTTTTGGCGAAAACAGGCATTTCCTCCAAGGATGACATAAACTCCACAAATTCCGATTTGGTGACGGCGCCATCTGTATCTGAAGCTATCTGAATGACAAGACCCAAAGCATCCAACACATCAAGCGAATACTTTTCCATGATGGGCTTCGCAATGGCAAACACTTGGCCATAGGTAAGCGTGCCGCTGCCCTCATCAAAGTTCGTGAACAAGTTCTCGAGTGCCAATCTTCGTGTCTCTTCATTTGGCATCGAATCCATCACTTCACCTGTGTAAGCTCTATTCTTCGACTTTGCGCGTTGCTAACGTATCACCAATGAGTTTTGTTTCAGTGGCCCAATCAATACCGTTGACTCAACTGATTAATGCTGTTTTGCGTGCTCTATCAACGTTTGCAATTTCAAACCCTAAGCCCCGAAGCGACTTTCAGCGCATTCTATTTCAGGAGCCTTCGCTGAGACGTACGAAACTTACAAAATCTATACTACTACAATGCAACCTTTAAAAGGCCATCGCTACTAGGGTGGAGGCCATCGCTCTTAGGTTGGAGGCCATCGCCTGTATATTCGATGTATTTTGATGTGCTCAACGAGAGGCGCTTGTGGCCTCTCCTCCGTGCGTCAGCTCATGGATTTTGAATTTTGGCGAGTCCTGGTTGCCTTGTCGAAGCCTGCACGGCATTCTAAACGTATCATTTTTGCTGATACAAACAGATCCGACATTCTAAACGCTTATCCACGAGCCCGGAGAAACGGGACCGGGGCGAATCGGCACAGCTGGCGTGGCATGTTCCGATGACTCAGGTGTGAAGGTGGTTCACAAACGGTCGTTGCACTAGCTGCGGAAGTTTGGCGGCGCAGCATAGTCAATTGCAGTTCGATCAAAGAACAAAATGAAAGGGACGGAATCAATCAGGCCTGCGAAGGCTTGAGCAGGCATTGAAAAAAGGTATATACAGGCTCCCAAGAGCATTCAAAAGGAGAGATGTTGAGAGTGAAGTAGGCGGCAAGCAAAACAACGGATGCAAAGGCCTCTAGGTTCTCCTACTTGACTGCTTCTGTGCGGTACAGCGCACTTCACCATGGTGAACTTGAGCACACAATCAATTTCAAAACGACACTTCACGATACCGCTCCCAGCACACATCACGTGGCACAGCTTCAGTTTCCCTAAAAATCTAGAAACCAAATCATTAGTGCGAGTGCTTCCTGGAAGAAGCGTGAGCTATCCTGCGTCCTACTTAGGCGCGTCCTGTACCTACTAGTTACCTAGCTACCTCAGTTCCTGACTTAATTAGGGCGCCTACTTAGTTAAGTAGGGAGGGGGGGAGCAGGCAAAAAACAAGGACGTCTCAGGACGGCCGCCGGGCCAACTGCCACAAAAAAGAAAGCACGCGATGTGACACACACACACATGCTTTCGCTTGATTGTCATAGATGAACAAATTAAAGAATAAGAACTTCTTAAATTAAGCCCCATTCGTTGCGTCCTTGCTCCTAGTAGCGATGCCCTTTGCTCCTAGTAGCGTTTTTGCTTCTAGTAAGGCCAGGAGCCACTTGTAGCTTCTTGCTACAAATTAAAGATTTTGTTAATTAAAACTCAAGTTGAATTAAATGTTCTGTTTTGAATGTCAATTAAGGCATACAAATCTTCATGCATCAACAAATCTATGTGACTGGCCCTTATTTGCAAAAAAGGAAGCCATGCTTTTGATATTCCTATTCAGCTTGACTAAAAGAATGGCCTGCTCCATCATAGTGTCGACGCTCCCAACCAGCTAGGGCACGTGTTCGCTGCTTGACTGCAATTGAAGCCCACGCCCGTGCAAAACGTCTTCTGGGCTTCGTTGAAGCTGAAGGGCTCAGTGCCGGCACATTCTTCCAAAGAATCATGCACAAAAGGATCTTCAGTGCAGGAGTCAAGAGTTTCATGCGAGCAACAAGCAAATAGGGTAAAATAGATAAAACATCCTGGGTCGTGCGTTTCAGCATGGCTTGCTCCAGGGGCCTCAGCCGCCTTTGCAACCGCTTCTTCAACACATACATCCCATAGCGTATATCTCGCAAGAGAGTGAAAAAGCTGTCATATACATCCTGCATCAGCATTGTTTGTTGACCATTGCCGTCTTGGAGATTGGCGTCGTACGTTCTTGCAACCTCTACTAGGGTTTGTATGTACTCCGTGAACTCACCCAACGTCAACGAACCGCTTCGTCGTCTGTCAACAACAACCATAAGCGCCGACCTCAAAACAAATGAGGAGAAACTATCCAAACTTTGCACACACACACACATAAACAAAACCTGACCATGTCACTGTGTCACTTCCGCTTTTCAATCAGCTGATGTATATATAGGAATGCTTGATTTGAGAGCAGCGCGCATCCATACGGAAGTCTTCCATTCCCTGCTTTGGGAGGTTGAGTCTTCCGCTCCACAAGGATTGCACAATGCTCAGAACAGCGCCTTGCGATCACATGGTCAGTCTAATGTCCAATCTTTACAGGTTGCCCTCACGACATCAGTTTGGAAAAAACTGAAGCGAAACCAAGCCAAGCGCTATGATTGAGGCTGCCGATGCCATGATCATCAAGCTCCTGAGAGGTAAGCCACTTGTGTGGGCAAGCGGACAACTGCGGCAACTGCTTAAAAGCCAAGACAGGAAACACTTAGGAGCAAGAAGCTACTAGTAACAAGTGCCACGCTACTAGTAACAAGTGCATCGCTACTAGTAACAAGTGCCTTACTAGTAGTAACAAGAAGCGAACGTAGATTCTTTGCTAATTATAATTCTTATTGTTACTAATAAGGCACTTGTCGGATTCGACCTTTGGCGCCATTTTTGCCATGCGTCCGACGCTTTTGAACTTCACACATGGACTCTAGTGCACATAGAGACACACACTGTAGTGCACGCACAAAAAAGTAAATTGGGTTGGCACTTACACTGTGATATCTAACTAGGTCGATAAATACCAATAAATTCGATAGGTAGCGTTGTGACAAATGGTGAACACCAACAGCTGTCAGGGCCCTTTCCAGGTCCAACTGCAACTATGATATAAAGAAGCACAATCGGATGATTCACCCTGTGCTTGAAAGGCTTAAAACTGCACAATCGATGCGTAATGATGCCACGCGGAAATGATTCACTGCGGCTCTCCGAAAGGATGGGCGTGAGAGCGCAGCGAGCCGGGGGACGTCAGACGGCTTCAACACTGACGGATATAGAGTTCGAAGAGAGCGAGACCGTGGGATGGCTCCAGTTTCGAGCCATCTGAATGGGACGGTGAAAGCAGTCCCTTCCAGGGTTGGCTGATCAAAGAAAACTTTGAGCCAAGAAGACAGCACAGGGTCCAATCATTTTGGAGCACAGGATCGGCGAGGGGCGGCGTTGTGACCAAGGATGTGATCGGCGTTGTGACCTGGAAACGCAAAGACCAAGTTGATGGCGGGCGGGGTTGACCAGGACTAGACTAAGGAAACACTTCATCCCGGCCTTCATCAACCTCAGCTGCACACCATGTGCTTGCCGACGATTCCACAGAGTTCATGGGCGAGAGTGAAATCGAGGCTGCTTTGGAAGAACTTGGAGAAAAGGAACCCCTTGCGGATAGCATGAGATTCGGGAGGTCCTGAACACAATGCAGAAGCACACCTTCAGCCAGGTGTATGAAAGTTAAGAAGGCAAAGGAGTGGACCGAGGATGTGGAAGGACAAAGGAAAGGGCAAGAACAAATCGAGCACCTGAAACAGAAAAACAAGTGCACGATATGCAAGCGAGTTGGGCATTCGCATCGAGAATGCCGGAGGCAAAACAGAACTATCACCTAGAATCACCTAGAGAAGATCGTCGCCGACGGGAAGGCATTCTTCTGTGGTCACTTGCAGGTTGCAGCCCCTGAACCTTGATTGGTGGCAGTGTGAGCCAAATGAGGATGACGTTGAGCCCAGCCAGGCTGAGAAGGATCGTGGTGTTGCTGCATTGACGACGTCCTGGACAAGCGCCACTGAGCCTGAGGAGGGGACCACAGGGTCGGAAGTGAGAAGCCAATCAGCTCTCGATGCCCAACGTGGGGACATTGGAAGAGATATCTGATTCTAATTCTATTGAATTCTTGTTTATAGTAGCTTCTTGTTACTAGTAGTAAGGCCAGGAGCCCCTAGTAGCAATTGGAAGGCAATTTTTTGTGTTGACTTGAGGGGTGAGAATCGGGAAGACATTTGCTGACAAGATAGTATCACCGTGCGTCCAAGGGCAGCACAACAAGCTCAAAAGGCTGGGGTTCCCAATGTAGCTGTTAGCATTAACTCCCACTATTGCTGCTACTACTACGACTACTGCTGCTACTGCTACTGCTACTGCTGCTACTACTGCTGCTACTGCTGCTACTGCTCCTGCTCATGCTGCTGCTGCTACTACTGCTACTACTGCTGCTACTGCTACTGCTACTGCTCCTGCTCCTGCTGCTGCTGCTGTTGCTGCGACTCCTTCTTGTTGCTAAGTACAAGGCCACAGTAGAGCTCAGGTTTAAGAAAGCTTGATTCAGCCCTGAAGAACCTTGCGCCGTGAAGGGCTTACTTGAAGTGAAAGCCGCAAACCGAATCAAACGACATTTCTACGTAGATTGTTGCCGCAATCTGAGTACTATTGGGAACCTACTGGGATGGAGGCCATCGCTACAGTATTGGAGGCCATCGCCAGTAGCAGGTCTAAAAGAAAGAAAGGAAGGACGGAGTAAACGCATCGCTGACTCAGGGTTGCATTTGACAACCGTCACGCTCCTCAAAGAGCTGGCGAATTGATCCGCTGGCGGCAGAGCTTTCCTTCTGTTGAAAAATCGCCACGACAGCTGCATCAAGCTCCTGATTCCACACGTAATCCGAGGGATGGAGCTTTTGCAAGGAGGTTTTCTTTGGAAATGGCCTCCAACCTAAGAGCGATGGTCTCCAACCTACTAGCGATGGCCTCCATTCCACAAGGTTGTTTCATGACGAAAGGAGGTCTTCTTTGGGAACATGTTGGCAATCCTCCGATGCTTCCCCATAGAGCCTCCAATCCTCACTGGCAAGTGGCAAAAGGAAGACGAATCACACAGCTCACTCCATACAGCAGAAATATGCGGAAAATGCAAACATGTCAGATCTTTCCTATGGGTTTGCCTGGCATACACCTGTGTCAAAAGCACGATTGTTCGGGCTTCCTTGAAATCTGGATGCTTCCTGACATCACGCCGCGCTTGTGCTAGTTGCAGCCGGAGAGGAGAGAAACACGAGGGCAGCAGCTTTGGAGCGGTGGTTTTAATCAACCAGAAAAGGCCAGCCTCAGCTGCTATTTCTACGTAAGTTCTTGGTGACTTTGCTTCTTAGTCAAGTCTGCTTAAACCGAATTGCTTGCCAAGATGCATGGCCGGCAAATGGAAGTGGCAGGGCGCAAATAGCTGTGAAGGGTACCAATGTGACTGCATCACTGGCCGCACGTTTCAGCCAGCATGTCTCAAGGCTTTGCAAAGGGCCTTGAAAGCTCTTGGCCAACAGCCGGCAGCTGTACCTCAAAGGGCGCATTCCACCCTGGGACACTTGGACAGAAGTGCATCATGTTTTGAAAGCTATTGAAGTTGCTTGTGCACCATGGGTTGAACAACTTGCGTGATGTTTTGCCAGCTTGCAGTACCAACCAACAAGGGCCAAGCTAAAGGCAAACTGCAAGGACGTATATCAAACAAATTAGAGGTTGGCAAGACTCGGATTTGACCAAGACTTGGTCGAACATGGGTTCACTCAGACAGGCCTGGCCTGATGTCTGCGCTCAACATGTCAATGCTGTCAGACAGCTGTCGTAGAATTAGCCCAAGAGCGCCTTACAGTGACAATTCACACTTGAGGCATTGCTGATGCATACCTTCTGATGGCTGCGCACGAAGGAAGTCAGCAAACAACAACAATGCCAACTGACTGTAGCGAAACTTAGTGAAACAAACGCCCTCGCGTTTCACAGGGTGAAGGCACTGAGAAAAGCCGGCTTTGCCACCATTTGGTCAAGCTCCGAGGCAACTTCCGAAACCTTGGTGCAGGAATTCAACCCTTCAGTTTCAACCTCGAGCCAACATTTCCAGTAACGCGGCAACTGTGTTCCCACCACCGGTGCTGTACCACTCCACTTGTTCAAAACAAAAGGAGTGAAGCATACCTGAAAGGCATACGCAATTGAACACATTTCCACACCCAGGCGGTTTCAGCCTGGAACATGCAAGTTAGAAACTGTTTCGTGGTGGTTGGTGCCCCTGTTGAGACCTGCAATGTCATGGGTTTCTTGGCATGCCTTTTGGAGCAAAGGAGGGTCGTAGTAGGTTGTGATGTAGGTGGCCACTGGGGTGCAACAGCAAACTGCCAAAAGCAGAAGAAACAGTAGGAGATGATACAAAATGATGATGATGATGATGATGATGATGATGATGATGATGATGACAATGGTGCTCACATAAAGTAGGTGTGACAATCTCAACATATATTTGTGGGGCTCCATGTGCAACACTCTTGCAGGGACACTCTTGTAGGACACTGTTGTGGGACACGGGACATTTTTGTGGGACACCTTTGTGAGGAATTCTCGTGGGACACCCTTCTGGGCACCCTTGCTTGAAATTTGTGAAGCCATGATCGGGCGCCCTTGTGCAGTAGGAGACTCTTCTGGCAACCCGCCACTCATCCGCCACTCATCCTGCTCCGACGGCGCTTTCCACCAAGGCTGCGCCAATCTGCATGGCACAGCGACATTTCTTCGCCGCACCGCTCGCCACAAACCAGATGCAAGCATGGCACATGCCGCGTTTACGCACGCATTTTTCCTCTCTCCCGGCCCATTGGCGCAAAGCCACGCAAACGCACTTTCCACCAAGGCCCGGCCAATTTGCGTCGCCGACATCACTTCGCCAGTTCTGTCTTGGCTCGGAAGCTTCCCGTACTAGATTTGTACTACACACACTTTGGAGACTCCCACTTTGATTTTCGACGACAGCTGACAGCTACACACTTTGGCAACTTCCACTGTGATTCGACGGCAGTTGCGCACTTTGGCGAATCCTGAACCTTGAGTTTCGACGACAAATGCCCACTTTGGTGTTCCACTTTGACTTTCGACGACAGTTTTGGACTCTTTGGCAACTCAGAACTTTGATTTTTAATTTTTGACAGCCGTTCCACGCTTTGGCGACTCGACACGTACGATCTCCGCAAAGGGTTGCCCCAGGCCCAAAGACAACCCTCAATACTAGTTTTACACGTGCGAGGCGCACAGTCGCCGCACAAAGGGTCGCGCTTTGCGCTTAGAAATTCAGAAAGGCTTCCATTTATGGTTGTGTAGGTGAATTTTGTAGGCGTCTTCGCCTGTATCTCTACACCTGTGCCTGCACACCTGGCCAAACACCTGTATCTATGCAGGTCAGTTCTACCAGTTGCATCACCTGCATCTCTACACCTGCATCATGATGTTGATGATGATGATGCTGCTGCTGATGATGATGATGATCCGATGATGATGGTTGGACAGTTGAAGTTGGCAACCGCTCTTTGAGAACAATCCATCGCAGGTGCTTTCGGGAAAAAAACACAAGCAAACACATGCAACAAAAAAACCACATGCAACATCTGAACCGTCCAACAGCTAAGGTTTTAGTTGTCCCATGGATGTCCCAACTCCTGCGTACTGTCTGAACAACTAAGACCTGGAACTCTGGTGTCCGAGAGCTGGACAAGGACTGCAGCAAATTCAATAAACTCGTCCAGGGAGAGTTCTGAATCTTGATCGCTATCCAAACTTGCTAGGAAGGTGGCACCGGTATTTGCAAGTTCAAGCTCGAGCTCGTGTGGAAGCCGCAAGGCTCCCCTCCATAGCAAACGCCTTGTTGACTAAAACCAGGAAACACAAAAGCAATGTTCCAGGAACCAATTGACAAAATGTTGTTCTGAAACTTTGACCCTTAAAGACAAAAGTAAATAAAAGTAACAAATACCGTTCTGAGAACTTCGAAGAAACATAAGCTCCAAGGCAGCAGCACAGGAAACTTTTTGGCTGTAGCGACGGCCCGCGTAGGCTCCGAGCTTTTCGCTACTGGAGTTCGTGGTGCCTTCCTCCCTCAAGCCTCGCAAGCCTCGCACTCGCTGTGCCAGCTTGAAGCGGGCATCTGCACTACGTGGTGCCTGTCGCAGGGTCTCAAGCAACTTGGGATCCTGCAGCCAGTCTGCAATAGCTGTAACCTCTTGTGCTTTGGCAGAAACACCTGTAGCCTCTTGCTGCTTCCGCTGGATTTCAGTTTCTGAAGTGAACTCAAAAGCAGTTTTCAGGCGTGAAGGCTCTGCTTGCGACTCGTTTTCATCTTGTCCGAAAAGTTGATCTTCGACCCGACCGACAGGTGATGGAACTGCAGCATTTCTCTCACTGAAGCCTTTAGACTTCGTTTGGTTCCAAGCACTTCTCCTGCCCCGATTTGTTGTATTGTCTTCCTCCGATTTGTTGTATTTGGTCCGGGCCTCTGGGTGGGATGCACTTAAAGGAAACAGGATCCGCCGATCAAAGCCGAAATCCCCCGGAGTGCCACCACAAAACAGTGTGCCCCCAGGGCATTTGGATGAACGGACGAAATTGAAAGGTGTGAAGCACATGCTGAAAGGCTTGAACAGTCTTCTGGGGAGCCACTCGCAAACCACAAGTGCTAGCGCCGCTAGCAGCACACATGCAGCCCAACGAACGCTTGAGGTCTTTGATCTTGAGGGCCTCTGGAGCTTCATCTGAGGCCAGTGATCACTTTCTCAAGGGCAAAGCACATCAAAGCACCAAAGTGAGAGAAGTTCTCACGGTGGCTTCAAACGCCGTCCACCTCACACCCTGATTGCGCTTGAAACTTACCAGTGTTGCCATGAGCGTCTACTACCGCACCATCATCCGTCCAACAAGACATCGTTGCAAAACCAAACATTGACATGCAGGCTTCCAAACATCACGTCATATTTTGCAGATTGGACCTTGGACATGCCGATGCATCAAAAGAATATAGTAAACAAAGTCAGTGCTAGCTTTGTCGGTGTGGCTGCTTAGCATGACAGTACTATGCCCAAGCCAATTTTGAAGGTGTTCAGAGCCATTGCAAGATCCTCGCTGCGATGAGGAAGAAAGGCAGCGCAGTGACACACATGGACACACACACACACACACACACACCAAGGTGCACTAAAACTTGAAGGATGGGGTGTTGAACAACATGTGAATATACAGTGCATGATTCTTTTTCCAATGTGAGATCTGCTTTCTGCTGGTCCTCTGCTCCATACGCTCGTCCGCGTGGCCTCTCTGCTCACAGCGTCACCTTGAGCAGTAAACTCCAGGTCGAAGACCACTTTGCATCCACGACTTGCGGAGGGAGGGCGTTCTGAACCTTTCGATTTAGCAAAAAGATCCGTGACAGGCGTGAGAGGCGGAACGTGTCCCGTGTTTTCCTCGTGCTTCCTTTTGCGGCCTCTGGTCATATCTCACGTCACATCTTGGCCCATGCAAGGCCTTGTGCAGTCTTCAAAGTGATTGTTGTGGATCCTTTGGACTCAATCTGTAACAGGTCGGCATACACCGTCGCCCATTCGGAGCGTCGTCGATCGTCCACGCGCCGACGGACTTCGACGGAGTCCGTCGATCGCACTCCACCGGAGTCGAAGAGGCGGCGAGTTTCACTGATCGACCTCAAAGCCCGCGCCACTTCACGATCCAAGGCAGTGAAAGCCCGTGGAAGTTGAGCTCGATGATCTTCATTCAAGTCAAGGTTCAACAAGTTTTGGCGTTCTGCGTCATAGCCAGCAACTGCTGCTTCAACACAAAGCATCAAGCTAAACAAGTGGCTGGTGCGGGTGCTGCAAGAAGCCAAACTGGCCCTCTCGGCCGATTTCATTCGCTCCGTCCAATTCTTTGCAATTGATTGTTTCAACCATTTGTCCCCATTCTCTTGCAACAATTTCAAGACTTTACGATGTTTCGCGATCGCAGTGAGGCGACGCCTGGCAAAGTCTGCTTCAAGCTGGAGCTCCGTTTTCTGCCCATCTAGCATCGCAGTGGAAGTCTTGAAAGCAATGGAGGGCTCCGTAGGAGCTCTGAGGACATCAACTGCGTTCGTCCACATTTCCATCCTCTTCTCAAGTTCCACCGGCTCTGGTGCTTCTTCTGTCTCATTCTCCAAAGGCTTCATTGGAGAAACTTCGATGTCCCCATGAGGGCTACCGACTTCAGCCACTCTTCCACCATCGGCAATGGCCCCCTGTCCGCCTGCTCCAGGTCCAGTTAGGTGTAGGTGACGCTCTTGATCATCCAAAGTCTCAACCACTGTCTTTTCTATCCTGGCCTCTGCGGCCTCCATGAAGTCTCGTGCAAAATGTTGAATTTCCAGCGGCTTCAGCGAAGCTTTGCTCAATGATTGCTCGGGCAATACGGGAACATCTGTAACCTCTGGAACTGCCAAAGCAGCAGACTTTGGCTTCGGTTTTTGGAAGATTTCATGCAGTCGACCGCGCAAAACAGAATCGGGCTTCATCGTCCCTTCGAGTCCTTCGGCCCCTTTGGGCTTTGTGACTTTCGGTCTCTCAGTCACTTCGAACCTTTCGTCGAACCTTGCGTTCCAACTTTGATTCCTGCTTTGTGACACGCTTTGTGACACTTTATCTTGCATGCGATCTTTGCGGCTGGCCTTGTTTACCTGCGGGCTGGGGGGGCTCACAGGCGCTTGTAGTATCATGGTCCCAGGTGTTAATTGTAGTACCATGCTTGTCTCCAGGTTCTGTTTCCGGCTTTGGACATAATGGCAAGTGGTCGGGCTGCCAGGCTGCTTCCACATCCTTCTCCAGTGTCGCCAAGGCTTCTTCTGCAGCTAAGACATTGGCACGCGCTGCCAACAAAAGCTTTAAATGCTCATGAAAATCATCAAAATGTGCCGCATCCGCATTGACTGCAACTTTGATTGCCATGGCTGCTTTTGAATCCGAAGCACTTGAAATGGCGTCCACGGAACGATTTTGCAATGGGTGATCTGTGCAATTTGCCTCTGGAGGACATGTTGCAACTCTTTGGGCCAAAGCACATGGACGGAAGGTGGTGCTCCGGTCTGTGGTGCCTGCGGTGTTACCACCTTTCCACGTGCCAGGAACTCCATCAAATGCTCCAGTGGTGTGACTGCGTGAATTCACAACACTTCTTTCCCTTGTAGAACTCCAAACCACAGAGGTGAAGCTGCCGCTCAGGCTGCCTTCTTCATGCGAAGCAACTTCCAAATGACCTTGTGGAAGGCACACATGCGACGCATTGCTCACCCCAAAACTCCCCAATTGTCTTTCCAGCTTTGACGCCTCAATTGCCCATTGTTGCTCTTGTTGCACAAGCTCCACTCTGACAGCCTCAAATCTAGCCCGTTCTTGTGACTCCAAGAAAACATGCAACTGATGAGCCAAGCGAGCGGAGAGTTCAGCACGGCGCTTGCGTCCTCCAACGCTCGCCTGGTCCATTTACATCGGCTTCGCCATCCATTTGCGCCGTCAGCTGCTCAAGTCTGAAGTGCTTTCTACGATTGTAATGAAGTGCGTTCTAACGTATTTTTTAGTTTTACTGCTGTGTTCGTGTTGTGGGTTTGCTACAGTTGAACTTCTGGACACGATCCCTTGCATCTACAACCCTCCAAAATCCAGCCGTCTTTCCTGACCTAGACCTTGACTTTCTGCTGTTGCTGACTGGCTGTTTCGCGCAGCAAAGCCCTTTAAAAAGAAGCTAGCGGAAAAGGTGGCAGGATGGTGGGTGGTAATGAACTTTGCAGTCAATCCAATTGCATCTTTGCAGAAAAAAACAATATTTTCCACTCAAAGATTCATCTTCCACTTGACTGCGACTGGACACAAGTAAAAAATGACAGGAGCCTTGCCAATCCTTACCGCCTCCCAACACGCCCTCACTTTTCCGAATGTGCCATCAGGTTTGCTCGGATTGACCCTCTGCCGAGTGGCTTGCTTTGCATGTCACTGGCTTTTGAGCCTTGCTTCCAGACATGGCAGAGCTGATGCAAATCTGACATAGACATATGCTTCGCCAAAGACAGTAGGCAATAACTCCATGGCTATCAAAAGTGAGTATTGAAATCCGACATCCCGGACCCCAAGTTTCCAACAACAACATACATAATTAATTACTATTGCTCATTTTCTGCAGAATGCTGGAGGCCCGCCCGGCTTATTCCCCAAAACGGTTAGTTTTACCTCAAAGCGTGAATAAAGGTAGATGCATCCCCAAACCCCAAAGGGAAACAACCAAATGCATGCGGTGTGTAGCCGACTCAAGGGATCAAACTCGTCCAAAACCCAACTTTCCAAAGGGCCATAGAAAAGAATATATAGTAATGGCGTCCAACCTACTAGCGATGGGCTCCAACCTAATTGTATTGGCCATCCTGATAGCGATGGCCTCAGATGAACACCTCTACCCCGCTCCCATCGATTCAACATGATTCAACAATCGAACTTACAAAGAAGGCGCCCGGTCTCCGAAATTCTTCGAGAACCGTCCTTGTAGCGTCCTTGCTCCTAGTAGTAAGGCCAGGAGCCCCTAGTAGCGTCCTTGTTCCTAGGCAGTGCAAAAAAGTCAAGTGCAAGCACACCTGCGATTTCAAGGTTTCCATGCGGACGTGCGCACGCACACACACACACAGGCACAATCTATGCATAGCCGCAAGTGTATACATAGGTAGACAGACTTACACAGGTACACTCTGATGCTCTGAAAGCACAAGGGCATTAGTGACGGCGTGCTAGCATTCACAGCACCACTGCTGCTGCATCTCACAGCAACATGATTGCAACCAAAATTGAACTCTCCTGAAGGGAGTAAGAGAAGGGTGCTTAGAAGCCACATGAGGTGTACTGCCCATTTTCCGCTGCACTGAAAGTACATGCTCTATAAAGCTCTATGAAACCTGCAGTTCCCTTTTAGCTCAGAAGCACCCCGTGAAAGCACCCTTGATTGAAAATTGGTTCAACGGAAGCCGTGTATTCCCGCTTTGGGGAGTCTCCTTTAAGGAGACACAGCACTAGGCACAGCTTGAAGCTATGCGGAAGCTATGCGGAAGCCATGCGGAAGCGCCAAGCAGCCACCCCCGATTTGGCCTTGAGCTGGCTCCAATCAGTCTGGACCCCGACCTGGCATGTGTTGAACGAGGGGTATTGCTGAAACGAAGTCCATTTCAGAAGAGTACATGTGTCGACGAACAAGGCTCAACTCAGTAAAGCTCACACACAAAGCATAGACCTAGGACCTAGCTGTAGAATTTACATCTGCATAAGGTGCCTGGATAAGTGGCGTTGAGGCCAAACAAAAGAAGATTGCATTTCGATTCTTAGATTTTTCATCAGCTCATTTAGGATCATCTTTGCTCATCAGCTTTTCAAATGTGGCATAGTTGTCGCCTCTTGAAGTCCTGAGAGCATGGCTGTGTAGTTGAGCCGTGTCGTCAGAAGATCTGAGATCGAGGCGGAGAACAGGGCTCTGACGCCAGGTTCACCTGTGTTCGCTACGTTCAAAAAGCATCGACAAGGATAGAGAAGGATACAACAAACATTTGTTTCAGAAGCTCACTAGAATGCCGAACAAATGATGCAATCATAATGCTACTATGGCTTCTAAAGTCTTTTCAGCAGCTCGAATCAAGGACCGCTCGTGTGGCAAAGGCCACTGGTCACCCAATGCGGTTTACAAGGACGGACAGAAAACACAAACAAGTCTCCCACAAATGCGAGGACGTGACATTTCCAAAAACAAACATGTCAACGAAATATAGAACCGCCACCCTCACATGGTCCTGACCGCATTGTATTGAGGAGGGGGACTTGCCACCAACGCCGTAGGTAGGTCATCTTCCCTCTTCCAAAGACCACGGCAACCTTTACTTGAATGTCACCGGACATTCCTGAAATTGTCACCGGCCCTGCCGTGCAAGGTAAAACCTGCAAGGATGCTATGCGGCATTGATGTCTTCAGCAAAACAGCTTTAGCCAACAAGTTGAATTTTAATCTGAAATCTGAACTATCATTTTGCCGCACTCCAGGACTTG